GGGAAGGGAGACTACAGTCGGGGGGCGTCATGAGGGAGACTACAGTCGTGGGGCGTCATGAGGGAGAACACAGTCGGGGGGTGTTATGAGGGAGTGCCATTGGCAGGACACAGTCGGGAAGGGAGACTACAGTCGGGGGGCGTCATGAGGGAGACTACAGTCGTGGGGCGTCATGAGGGAGAACACAGTCGGGGGGGCGTCATGAGGGAGTGCCATTGGGCAGGACACAGTCGGGAAGGGAGAACACAGTCGGGGGGGGGGGGGGGGGGGGGGGGGGTCATGAGGGAGAACACAGTCGGGGGCGTCATGAGGGAGTGCCATTGGGCAGGACACAGTCGGGAAGGGAGAACACAGTCGGGGAGTGCCATGAGGGAGACTACAGTCGGGGAGTGACATGAGTGAGTGCCATTGGGCAGGACCCAGTCGGGAAGGGAGACTACAGTCGGGGGGCGTCATGAGGGAGACTACAGTCGTGGGGCGTCATGAGGGAGAACACAGTCGGGGGGTGTTATGAGGGAGTGCCATTGGCAGGACACAGTCGGGAAGGGAGACTACAGTCGGGGGGTCATGAGGGAGACTACAGTCGGGGGGCGTCATGAGGGAGAACACAGTCGGGGGGTGTTATGAGGGAGTGCCATTGGGCAGGACACATTCGGGAAGGGAGACTACAGTCGGGGGGCGTCATGAGGGAGAACAAAGTCGGGGGGTGTTATGAGGGAGTGCCATTGGGCAGGACACATTCGGGAAGGGAGACTACAGTCGGGGGGCGTCATGAGGGAGAACAAAGTCGGGGGGTGTTATGAGGGAGTGCCATTGGGCAGGACACAGTCGGGAAGGGAGACTACAGTCGGGGGGCGTCATGAGGGAGAACACAGTCGGGGGGTGTTATGAGGGAGTGCCAATGGGCAGGACACAGTCGGGAAGGGAGACTACAGTCGGGGGGCGTCATGAGGGAGAACACAGTCGGGGGGGTGTTATGAGGGAGAACACAGTCGGGGGGTGTTATGAGGGAGTGCCATTGGCAGGACACAGTCGGGAAGGGAGACTACAGTCGGGGGGCGTCATGAGGGAGAACAAAGTCGGGGGGTGTTATGAGGGAGTGCCATTGGGCAGGACACAGTCGGGAAGGGAGACTACAGTCGGGGGGCGTCATGAGGGAGAACACAGTCGGGGGGTGTTATGAGGGAGTGCCATTGGGCAGGACACAGTCGGGAAGGGAGACTACAGTCGGGGGGGGGGGGGCGTCATGAGGGAGACTACAGTCGGGGGGCGTCATGAGGGAGAACACAGTCGGGGGGTGTTATGAGGGAGTGCCAATGGGCAGGACACAGTCGGGAAGGGAGACTACAGTCGGGGGGCGTCATGAGGGAGAACACAGTCGGGGGGGTGTTATGAGGGAGTGCCATTGGGCAGGAAACAGTCGGGAAGGGAGACTACAGTCGGGGGGGTCATGAGAGAGACTACAGTCGGGGGGCGTCATGAGGGAGAACACAGTCGGGGGGTGTTATGAGGGAGTGCCATTGGGCAGGACACAGTCGGGAAGGGAGACTACAGTCGGGGGGCGTCATGAGGGAGAACACAGTCGGGGGGTGTTATGAGGGAGTGCCATTGGGCAGGAAACAGTCGGGAAGGGAGACTACAGTCGGGGGGGGGGGGGGGGGGGGGGGTCATGAGAGAGACTACAGTCGGGGGGCGTCATGAGGGAGAACACAGTCGGGGGGTGTTATGAGGGAGTGCCATTGGGCAGGACACAGTCGGGAAGGGAGACTACAGTCGGGGGGGTCATGAGGGAGACTACAGTCGGGGGGCGTCATGGGGGAGAACACAGTCGGGGGGTGTTATGAGGGAGTGCCATTGGGCAGGACACAGTCGGGAAGGGAGACTACAGTCGGGGGGGGTCATGAGGGAGACTACAGTCGGGGGGCGTCATGGGGGAGAACACAGTCGGGGGGTGTTATGAGGGAGTGCCATTGGGCAGGACACAGTCGGGAAGGGAGGACACAGTCGGGGGGCGTCATGAGGGAGAACACAGTCGGGGGGTGCCCTGAAGGAAGACACAGCCGGGGAGAGTCATGGGGTAGGACATAGCCGGGGAGGGTCATGAAGGAGGACACAGACGGGGAGTGCCCTGAGGGAGGACATAGTCGGGGAGTGCCATGGGGAAGGTCAGAGTCAGGGAGTGCCATGGGGGAAGACACAGCCGGGGAGCTTCATGGGGAAAGACACAGCCGGGGAGGGTCATGAAGGAGGACACAGACGGGGAGTGCCCTGAGGGAGGACATAGTCGGGGAGTGCCATGGGGAAGGACAGAGTCAGGGAGTGCCATGGGGGAAGACACAGCCGGGGAGCTTCATGGGGGAGGACATAGCCGGGGAGTGCCATGGGGGAGGACATAGCCGGGGAGAGTCATGGGGGAGGACATAGCCGGGGAGTGCCTTGGGGGAAGACACAGCCGGGGAGTGCCATGGGGGAGGACATAGCCGGGGAGAGTCATGGGGGAGGACACAGCCGGGGAGTGTCATGGGGGAGGACATAGCCGGGGAGTGCCATGGGGGAAGACACAGCCGGGGAGAGTCATGGGGGAAGACACAGCCGGGGAGAGTCATGGGGGAAGACACAGCCGGGGAGAACCATGGGGGAAGACACAGCCGGGGAGTGCCATGGGGGAGGACATAGCCGGGGAGTGCCATGGGGGAAGACACAGCCGGGGAGAGTCATGGGGGAAGACACAGCCGGGGAGTGCCATGGGGGAAGACACAGCCGGGGAGAGTCATTGGGGGAGACACAGCCGGGGAGAACCATGGGGGGAGACACAGCCGGGGAGAACCATGGGGGAAGACACAGCCGAGGAGTGCCATGGGGGAAGACACAGCCGGGGAGAGTCATGGGGGAAGACACAGCCGGGGAGAACCATGGGGGGAGACACAGCCGGGGAGAACCATGGGGGAAGACACAGCCGGGGAGAGTCATGGGGGAAGACACAGCCGGGGAGAGTCATGGGGGAAGACACAGCCGGGGAGAGTCATGGGGGAAGACACAGCCGGGGAGTGCCATGGGGGAAGACACAGCCGGGGAGAGTCATGGGGGAAGACACAGCCGGGGAGTGCCATGGGGGAAGACACAGCCGGGGAGAGTCATGGGGGGAGACACAGCCGGGGAGAACCATGGGGGGAGACACAGCCGGGGAGAACCATGGGGGGAGACACAGCCGGGGAGAACCATGGGGGAAGACACAGCCGGGGAGTGCCATGGGGGAAGACACAGCCGGGGAGAGTCATGGGGGAAGACACAGCCGGGGAGAACCATGGGGGGAGACACAGCCGGGGAGAACCATGGGGGAAGACACAGCCGGGGAGAGTCATGGGGGAAGACACAGCCGGGGAGAGTCATGGGGGAAGACACAGCCGGGGAGAGTCATGGGGGAAGACACAGCCGGGGAGTGCCATGGGGGAAGACACAGCCGGGGAGAGTCATGGGGGAAGACACAGCCGGGGAGAGTCATGGGGGAAGACACAGCCGGGGAGAGTCATGGGGGAAGACACAGCCGGGGAGTGCCATGGGGGAAGACACAGCCGGGGTGTGCCATGGGGGAAGACACAGCCGGGGTGTGCCATGGGGGAAGACACAGCCGGGGTGTGCCATGGGGGAAGACACAGCCGGGGAGTGTCATGGGGGAAGACACAGCCGGGGAGCTTCATGGGCAAAAGACACAGCCGGGGAGGGTCATGAAGGAGGACACAGACGGGGAGTGCCCTGAGGGAGGACATAGTCGGGGAGTGCCATGGGGAAGGACAGAGTCAGGGAGTGCCTTGGGGGAAGACACAGCCGGGGAGCTTCATGGGGGAAGACACAGCCGGGGAGCTTCATGGGGGAAGACCCAGCCGGGGAGTGTCATGGGGGAGGACATAGCCGGGGTGTGCCATGGGGGAAGACACAGCCGGGGTGTGCCATGGGGGAAGACACAGCCGGGGAGAGTCATGGGGGAAGACACAGCCGGGGAGAGTCATGGGGGAAGACACAGCCGGGGAGAGTCATGGGGGAAGACACAGCCGGGGAGAGTCATGGGGGAAGACACAGCCGGGGAGAGTCATGGGGGAGGACACAGCCGGGGTGTGCCATGGGGGAAGACACAGCCGGGGAGTGCCATGGGGGAAGACACAGCCGGGGAGTGTCATGGGGGAAGACACAGCCGGGGAGTGTCATGGGGAAGACATAGTCGGGGAGTGCCATGGGGGAAGACACAGTCAGGGAGGAAGAACACAGTCGGGGACACTGGGGGAGAACACTGACTGACTATGTTGTTGGAATCCAATATGTAGTGCGAAGATTTTTTGAAATGGCGATTGTACCTTTTTACGTGGTGGGTGGTTTTGAGTAGAGAGCGGGCAAGTGAGAGACAGCAAATGATACACCGAGCAAATGAAAGAACGAGATTCACAGGTGTAAGTTCAAGGCCATCAGTGTGGTCAAGGACGCTAGCTTGTTTCCATGGCCAAAAGGTATACTCAATAGTACAGTCGCTTTTCATTTATCACGGGAAGGAGCATGTTCACGAGAGGTGATTGGCCGCATATACTATTTTCGGTTTGAAGTGGCGCTTGTTATTCAGCGTTTAACGTCTCTCATAACTCAAAAGTGAGTCCGCCATACTGACCCTGACACAAATATATACAATACAGCCCAAGCAAGGCTATAATATTTGGCAAGTCTAGATTACTGCAGTATCTCAAAATGAAGAACGTCTCTTGGCTCCTTTTTAATATATTTTATAACTATTATCTAAAAGCTTTTTCCTGTAAAATATGTTCTTTTAAGAGTCTAGATGTTAGTCTGCTTGAAAGGGCGTGACCAGTTTTCTTTTATTCTTTAGTCCGATGTGCTTTTTATAGCAGGTGAGACGTTCATAGCATATATGTCTCTCTGTCCGTGGTTAGGGACTAACCACTTAGTAGTCTCTCTGTGTTCCCTATGTGGTTGATGAGATGGAATTTCTTCCAAAAAAAACATTGTCCCAGAAAATGCTTTGGAAAATTGATGCTTCAGATTGTTCAAAAATTAAAAAAAAAAAAAGAAATACATTGTTGCAAAATGGTTTATAAGTTTTATTCTGCAGAGTTTTAATCAAAAACATATCTGATGAAAGAAATCGTTGGGCGCCCGTTGCTGTCACGCGAAACATGTGATGCACGTGCGAAACTGCCTAAACGCCGATGGACTTCACTTCTTTATGGGGAGGACGAAGTAAGCAATATATTTTGTTTTTGTTCGATATATGGATATAGGATTCGAACCCACGATCATAGGTTTCAGGCACGCAAGTCTGTCTAACTAATACGGCGTCTAAGACAGCTGGGCCTCGGTTGCCCCGGTTAGGTTAATGCAAACGCACTATACTTACTTACTTCTTAGACTTTTATATACAAGATTTTCAGCACGAGAAGATGAAATTAAGTGATTAACTGATCATTGATTTGTAAAAAAATGCAGTAATCTTCATGTTTGTAATTGGCTCTCCACGAAACAATCTATATAAATATGTTTGTGCGATTGACCTCGTGGTCACAGCGGATCAATCAGCCTGTCTCCACGTACCGCCTCACCGGCCAAGCGGAAATATCTGTGTAGTAGCTTAGTCGGGTTTACGTCAAGGTCAGATATATCAGTAGGATAAAACCCAAGCTTTGTATTCTAATGGAATCTTATATTTAAATAGGGCTCGATTTCGTTTAACCTACAGAAGTCAGACCTATTTGTCTGTGTTAGGTCATTGTAGCAAGACAGGTATGTCAAATATTGTACACAACCGATCGCCCCTTTGTGAGATGAACGCTTGAGTCATTTAAAGTATATATACCATCAGTTGAATTCAATACACGTACAGCTTCACACCCGTAACGTTTTGTTCAGTTTGAAGTAATCGACGGACTTGCGTGTCCTATGCTGGGAACATTATACAGTATCAGTAAGTATTAGTATATGTATGCCAACATTAGACAGTTAAAATGCGTTGTGTTATAGCACAGAACAGTTCTAACAGTGTTAACATTTCGCAGAATAAAGTGTGCGCAGTGCTGTGTTATATCATAGAACAGATCTAACTGTAATTAACATTATTGCAGTAAAGGCATATGTATACTCAGACAGTGGAATATAATTATGTAAGCGAGACAGCTGGGTTCAATGTTAACTTAATGCCCGGGACTATATGAAGAATGTTGTTGATCTAGCTTACTCTGTGTTCGCAGAGAAAGGTTGTTATTGACTTAATGTTTGGATGGACATTTTGTTGTACGAGGCATAAAAGTTTACAGTAGTTCCACAGAATTAGAATCAGTCATGGTGGAATATGAAACACAATTTGTCTACATATGTCTCCAGCATAAGTAACACTTTTATTCATATAGATTTTCCTGTGTGCTTTGGTATGTATACGTCACAGTCAGCACTATTCCAGCTCTACTACGGCGACCGGTAAAATTCGAGCCGGACCGGACAAACCCGTGATTGATGGTATGAGCAACCTCCCACGCCGTCGGGGTATGGTGACACGCCATCAACCGAGTCACTGAGCCTGACCCCCGATCTGAGCATATCTCGTCGGGGACCAATTCTATTCCAGAGCCCCCATTGGGGTATAGGGGTAAGAGATTGAAACATAATACGGCTGAAAAAGGTGAATTACAAGCCAAAAACAATTAAGTCAATTTGTTTCGAATAAAACTACCGATAAGCGAGGATATATTTTTATGAAATTCGTACATCGATGTCCAGAATGTGATGTACGATATATATATAGTATATATATATGCGAAACCATACAGAAGGCGGGAGAGGAGAATCGCCCCAAAATTGCCTAATGAGAAGTAGTGTAAAGATATATTGGGCAGCAATGGAATGAGAGCTAGATCCTTCTGTTTATTTTTGAGAAATGCCAAATAACTTTAAAAGGACAAACAACTATAATAGGACACTAGGCTCGGGCGAATTGACAGCCGTAGCAAGTTTGATTGAAGTCCTTCAAACACTTTGTTTATTAGCAACAGTGTATTATTTATAAGTCTAACCTTCTGAAAAGCACATTCAGTAACCTGTTAGGCTATATATGTCTGTAGCCCTTAATGATGTATACTAAACAAAAAACTTTAGGGATCGTGAATATTTGTTGAGATATTTTTTTATAAAATAGTGTGCTGTCTTCACTACAAAAAAACTATCCCCAAAAATGTCCATGATCCCAAACTATTTTGTTCAGTATATGTCTTATCATGGTATACCTGTCTCTGACCTTACTAAAGAAATGTGACATATTCAGTCATATTATTAGCCGTAAAATGATAGTAATTGTAATGCAACAAGTCGCAAGTATTGATGGAAGCCTATTATTATGACCCAGAGTACACCCAACTGTCAACGCCACAATGCTGACTTCCAAATGATTGGCAATTTATAGGGTGTTTAGGCACTAGTCGTTCTAGCCGTGCTTAACCTTGACCCCATGTTGAGATTGTTTACCCCGCCTCGAAGGTTATTTATTGTCCGGTTATGTCGAACTAACTATAGTTCGTATGTTTGTTGTTTAATGCTGCACTCAGCAATATTCCAGCTATATGACGGCGGTCTGTAAATAATCTAGTCTATAACTCACTTGGATCTATGAAGATACGACAATATCAGCTTTATGAAGTGATATGTTTTGGGAACGTGGGTAGCGTTCTTGTTAAAGTGTTCGTTCGTCCGTGTTCGATTTCTTACATGGGTACAATGTGTGCAACACATTTCTGGTGTTCTCCGCCGTGATGCTGCTGGGATATGGATTAAAGCGGCCTTAAACCATACTCACTTTATATTTAGTGTTGACCCCGTAGTACGATATTCCGTTCCCTGGCGAGCGCATTACTTATAGCAGTCTCTTACATAGACTGGGTCGTGGCTGATTTTGCACTGCGACAGCTTTGCGACGTGTTTGACGGTTTTTGTTCATGAAGAGTGTGTGCTGCAAACTTAAGTATGCGTGTGCATGTATGTATACGACTATGGGAACGCCAAAGTGATGAGTTTCATTTCTTATCGATCAATTGAAGTCACGAGTGATTGATCTTATGCTTTCTATAACGTACTGTCATGTGTTGTCATGTGTAATACTTAAATATATCAACTTGTATCAGTTTAAAATATTTTAATCAATAATTGCCGGGATTTCCCCTTTGACTACCCCCCCCACCCCACCCTCCCCCCAAATTTCTTTTTACATAGTCGAGTTATACATGTCATATATTTAGAATTGTTCGCCCATGTGAAATAGAACTCTGGTGTTTGTTCACTGACTTGCAAAGTCAGACCCTACGAGGAGATTTCGAATTCAAGTAGGAACAACACAAAACCACGAATCGGATGTTGTGTCATAATCTGCGAGTGTGTAATACACTAAGTTGATTTTGACTTTTATGCAGAATCGATGTATTATGTGAAATTCATTACCCATACACTGCAAGCCAATAGCACGTTATGTGACGTCACGCCGCATTTGGATATCACATCCTCTAACCTAATCCCTAATAAATTGGTTACTTAACGTATTGAATCATTGCGCCTCGAGTGAAGATTAGTTGATATGTATACACATACAAACATAAGATTATGTCGGCGTAAACCGCCAAACAGGGATGTTTTCGTGTGTATGAGCCCAAGTGTAGATGTATGGTTATTTCAAACGTATTTAAATATTTATTTCTCAGTATGTTTCAACAACGTTTAAAGGACAATTTGGAACAGTGATTTTCTTGCAAGTTAAAAAAATTAAACAGCATGTTATCAAAATATTTAAAATTTCTATAAACCTTTTTGAACCTCATAACACAAAGCAAATTAAAATATTTATCTTCCTCGATTTCGTTTAAGTTGTCATGACCTGGAAATTGATTGTCGGCGTCACTTCAATATACCTAGAAATTTGAAAAAGAATGTATAATCTGTAACTTAAACTGCATTGAAAATGAATTCCATTTTCTTTTAGTGTGTCTAGCAAACGCACAGTTAAGACAACTATATGCTAAGTATTATCTTCACCTAATATCCATAAGTTTAAAATTTTAATGTCATCGCCAAACTCTAATCCTATTACAAATCTAGCAAAATATTTGTACTATGCATATATGGAAAGAAATGTACGGTTAACTACAATTCCACCTGTGCCATCACGTCTGTACACAGAGGCCTGAGGCCTAAAAGAACTGAAATAAATTGTTTGGTTGGACCCCAATGAGGACAGTATCACAGGGTGGACTATTGAGGCATCGATGACAAATACTCATGCTCGATGTCAGCATGATATTTGACTCATGAGCCCCAAGTGCGCATATGTACGAAGGCTATAACTGAGCTTCAGGCGTCAATAACAATGTAATGGATTAATATCACTACGCGATAGCTTATCCTTTCACCGTGAGTCCAAGTCCTTTAACACATGTCACCTTTCGCCGAGGTGGTCCGCTGTTCCTCAGGTTTGTCACTTCACTAGAAGGTACAGAGTATAGGCACAGTTGAAGCAGGTGGATCCGCTGTTCTGTGTTGTCACTTCACTAGAAGGTACAGAGTAGACACAGTTGAAGCAGGTGGACCCTCCGTTCTGAAGACTTGTCACTTCACTAGAAGGAGCAGAGTATAGGCAAAGTTGAAGCAGGTGGACCCACCGTTCTGAAGACTTGTCACTTCACTAGAAGGTACATAATATAGGCACAGTTGAAGCAGGTGGACCCACCGTTCTGTGTTGTCACTTCACTAGAAGGTACAGAGTAGACACAGTTGAAGCAGGTGGACCCACCGTTCTGTGTTGTCACTTCACTAGAAGGTACAGAGTATAGGCACAGTTGAAGCAGGTGGACCCACTGTTCTGTGTTGTCACTTTACTAGAAGGTACATCTCACTCATTGATTGTAGCAATTATCGCAGATGTGAAACACAATCACAATATATTAGCAAGTATATTCAGGTGAAATCTTCAAAAAACAATGGCATCAGTTCCACCTTATCAGTCAGAAAATGACAGCAATGTGTCCACGGGAATATAATATGTCACTACTAGTCACCCTTTATTATCACAGATCCAAGTGATCCGTGAACATCCGTGGTACAGTAGGTCTTCAGCAACCCTTGCTTGTCGTAAGAGGCGACTGACGGGATCGGGTGGCCAGACTCGCTGACTTGGCGGATGCATGTCATCAAAGCCCAATTTAGTGGATCGATGCTCATGATGTCAAACACTGGATTGTCTGGTCCAGAGTCGATTATTTACAAACCGCCGTCATATAGCTGGAATTTGCAGAGTGCGGCGTTAAACAACAAACAAACAACAGATCCAGCTGGAGACAAATCATTCTTACAATTACAAAATGCTGACGTGTTGAAAGAGTTTTAAAATGTACATCAAGTCATGTAGTTTGTCAGTGAAACCGAAAATGCTGGATACATTGCTCAAACGTTCTCTGTGAAAGGCCAGATATCCAATTTCATATCATGCTACTCGTCGAAAGTGCAAAGTTCATAAAACACCACTTTTGGTCGTTTTGAAATGCGATTTCACAGTACCATGCCTAAGTGAAAAATGACAGATGGAGAGCCATAGGAAAGCTTGAATCCGGTACCTCACAGCTCAATTCAAGGAACACTACATATGACGTATGGCGACTTTATCAACGGAAGAACCACGTCAGATACCGTACCCGTAGTGGCCGCGCACCCGTGATAACTCCTCGCCAAGACATGGATTCGAACCACTCATCTTCGACACAGGGTCCATACAGTAACCCTGGCAACAGAGGGGTATACAAACAGGGATATGCAGCACTCCCACATGTTGCTATAGTTGTGTCCTAGTATCTGAACCAGAACAACTCTAATGTGTTACCCTGGCCTGCAAGATCCTCTGTCATCAGTTGAACATGTCATCGTTTGCGACGTCATCCAATCCTCCAACAACGTTGCAGGAACGTCGGCGTATCTTTCCCAGGTCGGCAATGTCATTCCCCTAGCCTTTCTACAACGTCACGGGGAGAAGGTCAAGCCTGCAACATTGGACAATGATGTGGACACACTCGTCACTGACTGTGTGAACTTTATGACAGGAGGGCTGTTAATTTGGACTGTTGCTAGTTACCTTACATCGTTCTTTCAATGTGATATTAACCCTCTGGCAGTAAAATATTGATCTATTCTCGCTGTTTTTCTTTTGGGGATTCCATGAATTATCTGTTTTCGTATCAAAATAATATTATTATGATAATATGTGTTCACTTGACTTGACTAAATGTTTGATTTTCTTTTAACAGATCTATTCATCTATGATCTGAAGACAGAATAATGCTAATAATCATCAAATGATCAAACAACATTGACGTCACGAAGCACACTGAACAATGTACAACGGATATAAGACTGGTGTGTATAGGTAGCGTACATCGATACAACCCAACAGGACAAACATTCAAATGAAGTCAGCAACGATGGCGGATAAACTGAACATTCACGTTCTACAGTCCCTGACGCCGTTCAATAATCACGGGCAGGATATAGTGTCGGAAGCGGCGCGCGCGCTGCTGGTCAGCTGTGTGAAGGCTGACCTATCAGTCCATGACACTTTCTTCCCCACGTCGCTCCCCCACAGCTTCGTTGCCCAGGTTGAGCCACGCCTCTTCCCGATGACCAAGCTGGCCACTGCCTTTGTGGCCTATACCATCTCCCGGTGTAAGGATGAGTTCAAGTTCCACCAGTCCATTAACAGACAAGCGGCGGAGGATCTCCTCAGGGACATGGTGGAGGGACTCCACTGGAAGAAGCTAGGTGAGTGAGGTCAATGACATCCATATTTTGTAGTTGGTGAATGAGTGAGTTGTGTTTAACGCCGCTTCTAACAGTATTCCAGTTATATCACGGCGTGTCAGCTTAATGTGGGAGGAAAGCCCGAAGTGATGCAGGCATTAGACGTTTACCACTTTGGTGAAACCAACGAGCACAGGTGTGGTGCTGACAAACTTTTGAAACATAATCGGGGCGAACCGGGATTCGAACCCACAATCATAAGTTTCTGGCGTGCCCAAGGGACGCAACTCTGCACAGCGAATTGCGGTGCCTTAGACGGCTGGGCCACCATATTTTGTATGTACTCGTCTTCATGCAATTCAACCTTTAGATGTTGGTTAAATATGAATACTATTTTTCCTCTACTATTCATCTGGACTCCAATACACCCGGCCTCTAATTAATGCCGAGTCTCACCTTTGTCCAAATAATAGAATCCGGGCGGTGGGGTAGCTTAGTGGTTAAAGCGTTCGCTTGTCACGCCGAAGACCCGGGTTCGATTCCCGACATGGGTACAATGTGTGAAGCCCATTTCTGGTGTCCCCCGCCGTGATATTGCTGGAATTTTGCTAAAAGCGGCGTAAAAGGATTTTACTTTATAAGACGCCGGGTCTCGAGATAAGTTTCCTATTTTATCCTGTTATATATTTGGTGATTAATAATGAGCCGTATCCTGCACAGACTCTTTGTGTGACGGCTGAATTTGCGATTCGGTAGGTAGTGAGTTGTCACCGTGCCATCATTTATCAGAATAGACGCGGGGGCAACGACTTACACGAAATTAATAGACCCCTGGGGTCTAATAGAAGAAAACGTTAATAAATAACAACTTCTTGTATATTTGGTAGGACATGTCAGGGCTACTTCTTGCCCCTTCATCGGGTGAAAGGCTGAACGCATGGCTGTATAGTTATATACATTCAGGTTGTTTATACACAAGGTATTTCTATACAGTAATCATACTCTGTGTACACATAATCTAACTGTACACAACGTCACATGACTTCTGAACAGTTGTACATACGATATATAAAAATGAGTGAGTGAGTTGGGTTTAACGCCGCTTTTAACAGTATTCCAGTTATATCGCGGCGTGTAAGCTTAAGGTGGGAGGAAAGCCCGAAGTGATGCAGGTCTCAGATATTTACCACTTCGGTAAAACCCATGAGCGGTATAGTGCTGACAAACCTAGAAACATAATCGGGGCGAACCGGGATTCGAACCCACAATCATAGGTTTCTGGCGTGCCCAAGGGACGCAACTCTGCACAGCGGCGCCTTAGACGACTGGGCCACCCGTGCCCCCTATAAAAATTAGACACTGCTTACCTCAAGCATCAAAACTGATAAAGAAAATCGAATAACTAATAGTGTACATGTGCTATGGTGCACCGGTGTTGTGTCAGTGCTATTTGTTTGTTTGTTGTTTAACGACACACTCAGAAATATTCTAGCTATATGACGGTCCTATGTAAATGACCGTCTGGACCAAACAATCCAGTGAATGATATTATGAACAACGATGCACGTCGTCGAGGTATAATGACACGCCATCAACCGAGTCATCCAGCCTGACCACCCGATCTAGCTGGTCGCCTCTTACGACAAGAACATCTTGTTGGGGACCAATTCTATTCCGGAACCCCCACTGTGGTATCAGTGTTAGGAGATTAAAACATAAGGCTGAAAAAGGTGAATTACAAGCCAAAAACAATTCAGTCAATTACTTTTTCTAGATTAAAACTACCGATAAGCGAGAATATTGTTTTCATGAAATTCGTACATTTATGTCCAGAATGATATTTTTATATATATGCGAAAACGTACGGAAGTTGGGAGGGAAGCAACCCCAAAAAGATTACCTAATGAGAAGTAGTGAAATGAGATATTGGACAGACATGAAATGAGAGTTTGGGAAACACTGTTAACTTTAACAGGACACTAGGCTCGGGCGAACTGGCAGACGGAGCGAGTTTGATTGAAGTCACTCAAACACCACTGTTTTTATCTATTAGCAACATTTTTTCTTTTTATAAAATATACCATTGACTTATGACCTTAAATGCAATGTATTAAGCTGTGTTGGGCACGGGCATCTAACTAAGCAGCATTGATCACCTTTAGGGTAAGATTCAGCCGCATCTTACTGACTTTTAATTGTGTGAGTGGCCTCGTCGGGGATGCAGCAAAAATACAAAGGGGAAAATATATCGTTCTAGATGTTTTCTTTTCATAGTATACCCAACACATTTGTGACAAAGCCCATTCTGTTGACAGGGTAGTAATCAGGAGTCGAGAAAAGTAAAAAAGTATTAATTTTGTATTTAGTTATTGAAAGGGTACAATATGTGAAGTTGAGTATATCGATATATAAATAGAATTCTGTTTATAAGGAGCACTCTTGATTGTCGTGTATTGCTTCACGCACCATCGAATATCCACAGAGGTATAAATACCGTGTTATTTGTTGAGCTCGAATAAACCTTCCCGCCAACATCAGTCTATGTAAATGCTTGCAATTCTATCGAGGCCGTTATTTTATTTCTTGGTTAACAAATTTTGTGTTGGTTGTCCACATAATTATATGCACAGCCGCTGTTTTAACTTTGTGTTTAAAACACCGGATATGGTTGGCACCCCCATCCCCCCCCACCCCCCACCCCCCCAAAAAAAAAATAAAAAAAATAAAATAAAATAAAAAATAAATAAATAAATAAATAAATATAAAAAAAATAATCAAAATAAATAAATAAAAAATAAATAAATAAATAAATCATATTCTCAATTGTCCATGTCATTATTGTGAAAAGTGACAAAAAGTTGAATAGGTTTTTGCGTTTACATGACATTAAAGTCACTTTGCTTGGAATACGGGAGACGTTGTACATAGTATTCGTCATGGCGCTTTAGACTCGTGTCGGGCATGAAAAAGGGAGACGTTTCTTTCGTGAGTTTGATGTAGGCTCAAAATGTTTAAACTGGCATTAATATATTTTTTCCTACATTTCTGATTTAAGAGTCGGTGTTCCGTAAATCAAGTAATACAACAATAAACGCCTGAGGGTTATCACGCGATGTCCCAATGGACCCCCGACATAACCACATGGATGAATCTCTGTTTCAGGCTTTGCCTTGTACACCATGTCCTACCCCGACACAGTGAGAGACCACAAGACGGCAATAACTCTCCGAGACTACATGGGGGACGACAGGTGAATAAATGTACTCTGTGACCCCGTTAATTCATTGTATAACAAGTGTTATCGTTCCAAGGAGCAAAATGCTGGAGTAACAGTGACTGAGTGAGTTGGGTTTAACGCCGCTTTAAACATTATTACAGTTATATCGCGGCGTGTCAGGTTAATGTGAGAGGATGCAGGTCTCGGACGTTAACCACTTCGGTGAAACCCACAAGCACGGGTATGTGCTGACAAAGCTGAAGTGTGGCAATACATGTATACCAAGTATACCTGGTCACTAGTAAAACCACCCGTGACGATCCGGGGTATAATAGGTCTTCAGCAACCCACACTTGCCGTAAAAGGCGACTATGCTTGTCGTGTGAGGCGACTAACGGGATCGGGCGGTCAGGCTTGCTGATTTGGTTGATGCATGTCATCGTATCTCAATTGCGTTGATTGATGGTCATGATGTCAATCACTGGATTGTCTGGTCCAGATTCGATTATTTACAGACCGCCGTCATATAGCTGGAATCTTGCTGAGTTCGGCGTTAAACAAAAAACAACAACAACACAAAAGTAAAACGTGCAAAAATGTTTAGAATGTTGCAAAAAGGGGTGTGCACCCTCCTCTGGATCCGCGTATGACCCTTTAAGTGAAGGTCCCACGTCTACTATGACCATATACACGCCATGCTAAGTCACGACTTCTACGTCGGGCCCCTATGTTACAGTCACATCTGGGCAGAGAAGCTGTTAGCGGAGATCATGGACCCCGCATGGACCAACGCCATTTTGAAGAAGATCATCAAGGGGAAGTACTCGGACGAGGATTACAACCGCGACATGAACGTCCTGTTCGTGAAGCTTCACCTGCTGGACCCCCAGTCCGTCATCCCCGCCTTCCAGTTCCTGCTGGGCCAGAGAGGTCAGTAGAGGTCACCAGAGGTCACCAGAGGGTCAGTCGGACGGTTATATAAGACACTGCCGCGAGCCATCGTTGAGCATGCTGCAGCTGTCGTAATCATAGATATTATGTTTCATTAAGACTGCAACAGGTCGATGCCGTAAACGTAATTAAGCCAAACGTGGGCTCTGGTCACCCTAGGCTCGTAAGCCACCTGTGCTGGCAATTTGTAACAGGCGTACACCTATTTTCAATAGTGGCCTGTTATACGTACTACGAATGCACAATTCTGCAAAACCAGATACGGTATATGGTCTCTGGCAAAACGCTTAAACTCTTTTTTAGTTGGAAATCCCACTTGTTGAAGGGTTTCTACTGGGAAATTCAACATCAATACAGAGGGGATATACTCCCTACACATCACTGAGTCATATTTTATGTCTGGATTTCAAATATCCACCTAATAAATAGCAAACATTTTTTTAAGGGAATTCAAAAGAAAAAAATATTCTAAAATATCTTAGCCTCTTTACTAAAGAGTGAACTTATCTCTCCGACTTTTTCTTACTTTAAATCACACTTACGTTTTGAATTAATAGGCATTGCAAAACATTATTTAATGCAAATTTCTGTGATTAATATAGCATGTAATTCATACATAAATCACCATGACAGTCACTTTCTCTTCAATACAGCCTTGCCTGCCGTGAACCTGGAACTCGCTACTCGGAACTACCTGGGAGGCATCCTAGACTTTCAGGTGATCCGACCGGAAGTAGAAACAGCTCTGCGCAAGCCCAGTGTACCCCTGAATGTGTCCCGCCTCAGCCTAGACGAGGTGGAGGTGTTCTATGGCGTCCATGTGGACGAGTTTATTGTGACTGAGTGCAGGAACATGGGCTTATGGACAGGCAAACGGCCAGAGAACTATAAGATGTCCAAGCTGAAAGAGAGGTGTAAAGTCATGTGATTGTGATGGAATAAATAGTATCATGACCGACGAAGAACAATCTGAGGACTCTATATGAACAGCTTCGGCGCTGTGTCATACGGAATGTAATGACTCCACTACCTGTACAGGACTTCGCTGCTTCATCTTACAGAACGCGATGACTCTACTTCCTGTGAAGCACTTCGTTCCTTCATCTTACAGAACGCGATGACTCTACTACCTGTGCGGGTCTTCGCTCCTTCACCTTACAGAACGCGATGACTCTACTACCTGTGCGGGTCTTCTCTCCTTCACCTTACAGAACGCGATGACTCTACTACCTGTACAGGACTTCGCTCCTTCATCTTACAGAACGCGATGACTCTACTACCTGTGCGGGTCTTCGCTCCTTCACCTTACAGAACGCGATGACTCTACTACATGTGCAGGACGTTCGCTCCTTCATCTTACAGAACGCGATGACTCTACTACCTGTGCGGGTCTTCGCTCCTTCACCTTACAGAACGCGATGACTCTACTACCTGTGCAGGACTTCGCTCCTTCATCTTACAGAACGCGATGACTCTACTACATGTGCAGGACGTTCGCTCCTTCATCTTACAGAAAGCGATGACTCTACTACCTGTGCGGGTCTTCGCTCCTTCACCTTACAGAACGCGATGACTCTACTACATGTGCAGGACGTTCGCTCCTTCATCTTACAGAACGCGATGACTACTACCTGTGCGGGACTTCGCTCCTTCACCTTACAGAACGCGATGACTCTACTACCTGTGCAGGACTTCGCTCCTTCATCTTACAGAACGCGATGACTCTACTACCTGTACAGGACTTCGCTCCTTCATCTTACAGAACGCGATGACTCTACTACCTGTGCAGGACTTCGCTCCTTCACCTTACAGAACGCGATGACTCTACTACCTGTACAGGACTTCGCTCCTTCCCCCTTACAGTGCGCGATGACTCTACTACCTGTACAGGACTTCGCTCCTTCACCTTACAGAACGCGATGACTCTACTACCTGTGCGGGTCTTCGCTCCTTCACCTTACAGAACGCGATGACTCTACTACCTGTGCAGGACTTCGCTCCTTCATCTTACAGAACGCGATGACTCTACTACCTGTGCAGGACTTCGCTCCTTCATCTTACAGTGCGCGATGACTCTACTATGCGTACAGGGCTTCGCATCTATATAGGGCATGATATAGACTGCAGTGCATAAAACAAAAAGTGCACGTATGCACAGTGAAGTGCAATACTAATTCAAATTATTCCTTAATACTGGGGCATATATTTGCTGCCAAACCAATACGATGACGTATGCCCCACGGCCTAGTGCTGAAGACATTTAGTGCCCTGAAACTGCGATTGTGTCACTGTGATATGAGGGTACTTATTCAGCGATAGATTGATGTAGAAGAACTTGTTTTTAATGAACATGGATATAACGTACTAATAGTTATGACGAACTATTTCTAAAATTCCTACTGTGCATCCTAAATGATAGCAGACAAACTGGTGTTGGCCTTGAACTCAACTTGCTGGACTGACATTTAACCCGATCCCTGACACGGTCATGTGCGGTTTCTGTGATCCACATCGTATCTCCATATACGTGCGCCTGGCACGTTGTTACAGCTGCGCTACAGCTTCAGGCTGTCAATGGGGTCAGGCATGAGACCAAGAGCTTCAGGACTTCAGACATAACAGCGTCGGAACTCAACGTTTCTCGTCAGTGACTTACGGTGAACATCGTTCGAGTTTTAATGTTCAACATAGGACAATATATGTTCTGATAAATGTGTTCTCTATAGAGTACTGATGTACGGGTGTATGGTGGGCGGGTACAATGGGGCAACATTAACACAAACTAGATGGGTCACGCCTCAGTAGTTGTGTGGATGAGAAAATCCTCAGATTAAATTCAGATCAAGAAGCGTTGAACGTGGAACGTGAAAGCTAATCAGGAAAATCAATGAAACTCTCTCTGGAAATAGATATTACTCTAGTCTATATTCACAACATTACCAAACACCCCTCTTCATCTTCAAACCCCAGCATCCTTGCAGGTCGTCATGACCTGTTACAGAATAACAGAACCACCATTTTGGTCGGTCGGTCGGTCGGTCGGTCGGTCGGTAGGTCAGTGGCCACATAGAGCGGCAAGGTTCAAGCCGCATGATGCAGACACAGCCATACAACGTGTATTTTATGCTACATGGGGCATGGGATATGTAGATACATGCTTTTATCAAAGAGGGACAATATTCCACGGTCTGGGCGCCCTGGTGTAACTGAAATACTGTTCAAAGCTGCGTTATTCCAAACTCACGCCACGGTCTGGTGACACATAGTGTGGACATTTTAATTATTGGCATGCGTTTAACTCAGACATTGTCTGTGTTATTAAGAAAATTAGTTGCTTGTTTGATCAGTATCACACTTGAGCAGACAGACGAAGTGTTATGGAGTAACATTAATCAATCTTGATAGACTGCTGTTTGGGCCGAGTCAAATCCCACTCTAAATCCTGATAGAAACTGATACAACTCCGAAACCCAGAGCGTAGATCTGATTAAATCAATTTTATAAGTGAAACAAAAAATGTGCCCACTACACTGCCAGGCAAAAGAAAGAACACCCATGATGGCTAAAGATGAAACACACAAGAAATAGTTATTCGATGGTGATGTATTGGAAACTGGTATCATAGTTGTGTTTTGGACCTAAAGTTTATAGTGTTTCAGCGACTGTCTGTATCCTAGTAACGTTTTAAAAACGTTTGTAATGTTTTGGTTAAATCCATTTTACAAGTGTACACTTTCATTTGCCAGTTTACATATTTGAGTCCTTCAAGGAGAAACAACTGAATCAAACATCTATGTTTATGATTCAAACCATGCTCTCTCAACATATTCCCAAAGTTATTAGACCTTTAGATTCATCCTACCAGCATCAACGTATACTATATAATGCCTGTGATCTAAGTGTTCATAATAATATATGATGTTACCTTGACGACCTGATGTAAATACTCTCCTTGAAAGTCTCCTTAATCTCAGATTTTGTCTTCGATTCAATCCTCTGAGAGATGATTGTAATGAGGGTTATCTCCCCTGGGGTATCCTGTCTCGCAATAAGATGTTGCCTCGGGTCACGTGGTTCATGTAAACAGCCAATAAGAAGACTGGATGTGCCAGTACATTTTTTTATCATAATTATTATAAGGGTAAAGCTATTTTTCAGGGCATTATCATTTGCAGGAGCCCGAGGTCTTCCATTAACTGTTGAAAAGACCGAGGGCTTCTGCAAATGATAATGCCCTGAAAAAGAGCGGTACCGTTATTATAGCTAAAAAGGATGGAATTTGTTATCAAATAATAAGAAACAACAATCTCGGTTTCGAAACATTTACTGCAGTTAACACGAATGTCACTGACCCAATTTTACAAATATGGAAACGTCATAGAACAAACCAGATGACGTCACTATTAAATGATAATTCTATCAATTTTAGCTATAATATACTGTAAAGTCATATCCAGCCAAATATGTTTATGACAACTATATGAGACAATCACTTAGAAACAAAATATAGTATTCGGTAGAGCATACACGTTAAGTATGTAGGAGCTTGGTGTGCACATTTGTTGACTTTGGTGAATCTCAGCTGTACAAACTGCTTCCATTACTTCCACAATCTTGACCAACAAAAGACTGTATCTCCGTGTGAATATCACAGGTTTCAATCACTCGACTTGTCTGAAGTTGAGATCAAACTCGCTAGTGAAATGATAGCTTAATGGTGTCACCGGAAACACGTGTATTTTGTTACCATTCGGTTCGGCTCGGCACTTTGTGTTAGCGCCACAACACCTCGTTTTAGTTTGTACCTGAGGCTCATAACGACTCCTTGCACAGACCTATGTTTGGCCAAAATACTGTGTTCAAGTTACAGAGTCGTATAACCAGATCCAGCATCGTCAGGTCCAACTGGCCTAATCCTAGGATCATGGGGTCGTATTTGATATATTAGCTTGTTATTAGCTTGACGGATAATATGTTACCTGTATCCCCGTGACTAGCCGTCACTGCTTCCTGTGGATTAATGCATGCACGATTAACCTCTTCTGTGCCTTTTGATGATAATAATGATGATGATGATGGTGATGATGATGATGATAATGATGATGATGATCAAAATACATAGCACCATTTTTAGTTATCAATTGAATGTATATAGAAATGTGTTTTTGTTGATATTTCTTATTTTCGCTCGGAATATTGTTTTACGCGTGTCTTCGCACCTCCATCGCGATCATTGGGGCGTTTGTACGAAACATTAATACACAAACAACCGTACCATTGAAAGCGCCCTGTTCGCGTTCGAGGGGAGTTTGTTTTGAAATGTAGTGTAACGCCACATCACTTGCACATGTTGTGTAAAGTCAGTGCTCGTTTCTGTTACCTCACTCTTGATGTGAAGCTTTTGTATTTGCATAACTGTTATGACATCACCCTGTCACATTGTTTACTTTTGTATTTTTAACAATTACCGGATTCGACGTAATAAGCGCCCAGGGCGCTCTCAAAATTAGAAATAAGGGGATAATTTTCGTGGGGATAAATTTCGTGGTTTATGGTGACAGCCTGAAATGTTTATGTACGACAGATATATTTTTCCAGAATTAAATAGCCCATAATTAAGGGTGCATATTACACACGAGTGTGTATTATACGCGAATAAATAAGTCTTGTGTACATTGATCAGTTGAAATGGGTGCGAATTGGAAGGGTTTCACCAGCCAATATATCAGCAAATATCGCCGTGGGCGCTTATTAGAGCGGGGCGCTTATTACGTCGAATACGGTACTTATATTACTCAAAGACGTACCAACTGTTTTTATTAAGGTTATTTGCATGGTGTATAGTCTCTATGGTCCGTATATAGCTTATTCCATGATGGTGTACAACCATGTGATCTTATGCACTGAACAAAGCGTTTGTGGCACAGAACCACATATGAACAAGGTCTTTCAATTACCATTGTCGATGTATGAAACCGTTCCAAGATGTTACATGCAATGAAAGGCGACTGAAACTTTAAACATTACCTCATCTTGCTGCTTATCCATAACAATGAAGGGGCGGTCGGGTAGCTTAGTGGTTAAAGCGTTCGCTCGTCACGCCGAAGACCCGGGTTCGATTCCCGACATGGGTACAATGTGTGAAGCCCATTTCTGGTGTCCCCGCCGTGATATTGCTGGAATATTGCTAAAAGCGGCGTAAAACCAAACTCACTCACTCACTCACTTCCATAACAATGAGACTAGAGTGAAGTCTCATCAACCCTAGCAGAGCGACTAATGGTTTCTTTCTTGTCTTCATATTTGTATGTTCAATACTTACATCCACGTGAACAATGATTCAAGTGATTCAGCGAATGGTGTGTGATTCCTCTGCAAAACATGAATCATGTAAATCATGAAATCATGAAACATCACAAGGTTTTCAAGGAATAGTGCATGAAAGGCATTAAGCATGTGCAGAGAACCCCCGTTTACTATCACAAGAACGTTTGGACGTTATTGCTGTGCCCTTCCTGGGTAGTCTTGCCTCGTTGATGTGGACGAGTTCACTATGAACGGTGGGTAATCAACGGGGTGGTGGTGTGATATAGGAGTCAAACATTACTCATGCCTGTATGTTCCTGCCTGTCATATTATTCTGTGTGGATATTTTCTTGATTACAGTTAAGCCAGTAAAACATGAGCAATGATGTTTGCAATACAGTAAACTACGTTTATAACGAACTGATTTTTTAGTCCCGGCCATTTGTTGTATATATGCTGTATATACGCTTATAAGAACTACGGTTATTACGAACTAAAACTAGTGGTCCCTTTGAGTTCGTTATAACCGTAGTTTACTGTAACTAAATCGGTTAGCACAGTATGATGCAATGTTTTGTTACTGTTTGATTACTTCTGTGGGATAAGTCTACACAATATATTTGGATTTCAACTTCTGTATTCTGTGGACGTTTCTTTGACCTATAACGTCTAAATGGCTTTTTAAGTTAAAACTTTGTTAAACTGGCACCAGACTTCCTCTAAATAACGTACAGCTGCCAGCCACGGAGTGCCTTGTGATGAATAAACTATCTTTATGTACATGTTATCTGTGTTGTTTCAACTGTTGTAGTTTAGTCCTCATTTGAATTACGGTATGTTTGTAATAATTATTGTTAATCCTGCAGTGAGTGAACGAAGTGGGTTAAACAACACTTTGAACATTAATTCATTAATTTCTTTCGCGAACACCTGGTATCATCACTAGTTGACGGCGATTCATAGACACGTGTTTAGGACATAGTCGGATGTACAGTGGACTCTGCCTTTAGCAGGGAGTTCTAATAATTATGGAAAAGTCTGGAAATCCCGAAACGACGCGTGTAGTAGACGTTTACCTCTTTGGTGAAACCCACCATAACGTTGTGATGCCGACTAACCATGAATAATAGGTGAGGTGAAATGGGGTTTAACGTCGCGTCCAATATTATTGCACTTATATAGCGACGTGCATGCACGTGTATGTGTGTGTGGCTGCTTTTATCATATAATGGGCAGGTTTCTCGGCAGGATAAAGCCAACGGATAAAAACGATATCCGTTGGGGTCATATGCGGATAGAGATGCAAATATCAAAGGTCAAGTAGGACTACTTTCACTGTTTATAAACAAGCATGGCGTCGCCCTCGTCATTCGGCGATCGAGTCAGAATTAACCATCGTGAATCTGGATAAACTACAGGGATAATTGCTATCATTATCAAACGAACAGTCTAATATACTGAAAATCAGTGTCTAACTGTGACGTAGCTAAGGCATTTTATAAGTTTTGGAAACTTTCGAGATATAAATTTCGAAACAATTTTGCGAGGGCACGAGGCCTAGCCAAGCGGGATCAGTAGCCATATCTGTGCTTGTAGACCTCTGTGGCTTGAAACCTTCTCCACAAATCAAAATGGTTGGATTCGGCCGAAATATGTTTGAACAGTTACCTTGTTTCGTTTTGTCGCTGTGTGTACATCTGACTACACTTCTTAACGTTATGAAAGGACAGACCGACTGTCAACAACGTCTGACCATGGCCGTGACGTCTCATAGACTAGAGTTAGAGTAGCTTCCCTTTGACAAAGGGCAGTTACTCTAGCGGACAGACCGATGGATTGCCGCGAAAGGCAATTAAAAACAACTGTTGTTTTGCCTATAAGTTGCTTCGCCACTGTATAAGAAACACATTTCAGTTTGAACTATATTGGCTACTGTCACTGTCCGACTGACTAATCACTTACCCTGTGACGTAATAAATATTAATGCGCGCATTCCAGGAAAACTCGCAATGTTTCGGTAATGTTTGTGAGAGAGGCTCGCTAAATACAATGTTTATTCCTAATGCAGGATATTTACCATCCCCAAACACACTCGCGTGATAACCTCTATGTACTAGTCCGGACTGATGCCGATTTATAGTGCTAGCTCACTGAGATACCATGCCGCAGTTTAACATGAATACCCCACTCAGACACAGTATACCGACTCCGAGCCAACCAGTCTTTGTTTTAGCCCCTTAATGCCGAGCGCCAGACAGGGTAACAACAAGTACCATCTTTAAACGTCTTTTGGTATGACGCGGCTGGGGATCTCCGGGCGGACGCTCTACCATTAGACCACGGAGGGGGTCCCATGAATAATAACCTGTGAGAATCTTGGATTCGAACTCACAAGCGACTCCTTGGTCTACTGGGCCACTCCTGTCCTCCCTTATAATAATACCGTTTACACATTTCATATTCATGTATGTGAATAAGCTCCTGTTTATTTCATATAAATGCAAAGGAAGTATTTGGGTGTTGAACCGAGTCACCTTAACATCTAAGATTTGCTTCAGTTTGGCTTAAGGTCTATTACACAAAGAGATCCGGTTTGAATTATATTTCCTGGAACTCGCTTGTGGTAAGAGGTAACTAAACCGGATCGGTTGGTCCGGCTGTTTGACTGCGTGTTGCCCATATCAGTCACCAGGTGTCTGGTCCAGCATCTCCTCGTTCAGGGCATCGTCATACTGCCGGAGTATTGCTGACCTCATCTCTGTAAGTTACAGGGACTGTATATTGACATCTGAATTGGAATTTCATTTGTCAAGCAAAAGAGGTCAATATAATTTCAAACCATGGACTATTTAGTGTCCTCCTCAAGCAGTCAAATCTGTCAACAGGACAGGTTCCTTTTTCACACCCATATCCTTGATTCAAAGATGCCATCAGCGTTATTTCATTCTAGTTCTGCTATTTTGGCAAAACAACGAATAATTAGACACCCAGTGATCTAATGTCGAACAATTGAAGAACACTAATCCGAAAATCAAGTTACCATATTGTTCCAATGTTCCTCTATAAAGCGCCTTAGTGCTCGAAGGACGTCGCACAAGCTAGCAATGTCAATGGCAGCTGCATGTGATGTGGACAAATATAACACAACTCATAATAAAAGAATCACAATTCTATTCCTTGCATACACCAATAAACTGCAGTCATACATGAATCCTTTCACAGCTCCAGACTAAACTGCTGCCCCAGACAGGTTGGGGAAACCTCATTCAGTGGAATGTTGCAAGTATCGACGCCTACTTCTAGTCAAGCACCAGGCTAAAATGAGACGGATCTTCAATGTCGAACGGGTACAGGTGAAAAATAGGAACACACGATTGATACAGATTTATATGAAGATAACAAACGACATTGATAGGTCCAAAGCTGCAATCATCTACGACGTTTATAAAAAACAAAAACAAACAACAACGAAATATCAGGTCTCTGATCTCAGCAGAAGAAACAATATAGTAAGTAATATCCTAGTTTACACCAGGAGCTGCATCAACATTTCTACTGGAACGGCACCAGTTGGCTAAGGCATTGCTGCGTCCCTTGGCCAATGCAGTTGATGGTAAGTGTGTTGAATGACAAATTCAAACCGCTATTTATCATTGAACCAATCTACACTCACTGTTCTTAAAGTATTTCAGTTACATCACGTCAGCATGATATGGGTGCGCATTAACGGTGCCCACTCTCATGTACAGAGTCACATCATCAGCCAAA